AGGGTTGATCTCCTCTAGGACTGACTGGTTTGATCTCCTTGCAGTCCAAGGGACTCACAGGAGTCTCCTCCAGCACCACAATTCAAAGGCCTCAATCCTTCGGCACTCAGCCTTCCTTTTGGTCCAGCTTTCACAGCCATACATTGCAACTGGGAAAACCATAGCCTTGACTATACGCACTTTTGTTGGCAGGGTTATGTCTCTGCTTTTTATGGACTATCCGATGTTGCAAAAGGATGCATGTGTACACATGGAGGAAAAAAATGCCTATCCACATCACTCACAGTGAGCCATTTTGAAAGTAATGCAAAGTCATGATTTAGGATTATGTGCATGAACTGGAATGAGCCCAAATAAAGTCCTGCATTCATATGCTGCCTTTCTACTCTCTCCCAATCCTGCATGGCCAAGAGAACTTCTCTGGAGTTCAGTATCATTATCCTAGCTAGTTACCTCAAACAAACCAGAGATCATACTTTAAAACAAACTATAGTTTGCTAAATGCTTTTGAAGCTGACTAGTTTAGAAAATGATCAGAGAAACAGTAGGTGGGATAAGTTAAATAATACCTTCCTTCCACTCCAGTCAAAAATTTCTAGTCGTTTTCTAAACACGTCAGTGTCAAACTATGGTTATGAAGTTAATTTGTTTAACTAATCAGGATTTCTTTTAAAGCATGAGCTATGGTTCATACATAGTGAAAAGCCAGGGTTCGTGACATATGAAACTTTGTTGTAGAAATCCCACCAGCTAAATGGGGCAAAACAAGAAGAGGTGGTAGAGATGGAGAAATCTAGTTATTTTGGCTCATCTCAGTTTCTGATTTTTCCATTATTTAGGTCATCTCAGACTTTGAGAATTTTTATTTTACAGTTCCCATCAAAATTTATGTACATTTTTGAGCACACAGTTCATAAAACATGAATACCTTACCACAGTTTGCCCAATATAGACATTTGGTGCAAGCAATTTATCTAATATGCATTTTTGAGCATTACTTTCACTAACACATACATTTTGGGTGCACTTATATATTCTAGTTAGCATTTTTATTGGAGAACTTCATAACAAAATTTGGAGGAGTGCGCATTTTGAAAGATCACTCAATATTAGTTTATTCAAAATTGCAAAATTAACATGTGAACTGAACAAATTTCTCATTAATTCCTCAGAAGGGAGTACATGTGATATTGAGGTTCAAGTTGTGCTCATTCCAGCTTGTAAACAATGCTTAGTTTTAGGTGTGAACCAGACCACTGATACACACACGGGTTTCACACAATTTGTCTATGAAACTGACCACTTTGTACTAATTTTGTGATGTTTGATGTAGCCCTATGACATTTGGCTTATCAGCTTGCCCACATAATACCAGTTCATGCAATACTGTCAAACTGGGGGCAATCTGTGAGAAAGTGCATTTGTGCTGGGCTCCCCAGTGACTGTTTTCCTAGTGTACACATGGAGTGGGGGGATGAAATGGACAAAGTAGGTATTTACTCAGAAGTAAGTACTGCTTCTTCAGTGGAACTTAGGGCTTGCCAACTTGAAAACACTTAACTTTGCTGGACTGTGTTCAGTGAGTTGCAATTTTCTAATAATAATGATGTCATAATGATGTAATTGTACAGTGCTTGATCCCCAAAATGGGGTCCTAGCAGGAAAAAAGTTTAATCAAAGGATTTTGTTGGTTTACGTTGTTCAAGTGTTTTAAAATGTTTTGCAGTTATCACCAGTTTAATGTTTGCTTCCCAAATAAATCAGCATCAGTTTACATCTAAAATATTTAATTTGGCCAAGAAAAATGAGTTAATTTTTCTGGAATCTGGAGACAGAAATTCGTCGAGACATTTTGTATTAACAAAGAGTACAATGAATGAAAACTATTCCCCAAACATAACTGCAAAATGTCTGTTACGGTGTTTGAAATATGCATTGCTCACTTAAGCTCCTACTAGCCTCATATAAGTGCACAGTTCATAAACTGCAAAAAGTGGAAATGGTCCCAAATCCCTTTCACAGATTCAACCTGCAAATCAATTTTAGCTATGTGTTTATAGTTCCCCACATGAACATTGAATAAAAAACAGGGACAATGGATAAATTGTGAATGGAAATGCTAACACTTCAAACAAAATGAATACTCATTAGTTGAAGATCATTGCTTCTCCGGTTAGCAGGATTTGTCAATGATACATAGGCAGTGCGTCCTTTTAAAAAATAAAGTACATGAGATGTGAGTGTTATGTACTTACAGCATTGTTTACTTCAAGTAGCTTGAAACTGAATTTCTGAGGATGAGCTATATGAATGTACTTGAACTGGGGGTCTCAGTTTTAAAATACGAGAAACGCTGATATTCTTATGATGTTGGATTAACTATTACTGTTTCCATAGAAAAGCATGCCTGGCACTTTGACACCCCTATTTTCTTAATGTGTATTGATAAGAACTGAGTAAACTATTAGCCTAGAGCCAGATATTTACAAGTGGCACCTTTTCCAATAGGTACATCAATTTGGTATCATAAAATTTTGTTGCTTGTAAGTTGATCAACATTGTTATAGCCAAAACATAACTAGAATAGCAGAACCTTGATTGTTCCTCTAAGTAGTATCAATGTTGTCCAGGTGCTATTCCTAAAGATGTTGCTTTAATATTGTTGCTTGCAGTAAATGACATTCCCAATATTTCTCCAAATCAAGGTGTGCAGGATGTACAGCCATTTTTTGCTACCATTCTGATCAATGTCAGTGGGAAGCTGTCACTTTTTCCATTGAACTAAGTGCATTGCATGGGTATTGGTGTATGCCCAGTGGCATAATGTTATTTCTTTGAGCTGCAGGTGCTCATGAAAACAGTCCCTATAGCTGCACCCCCCAGAATGGTCCAAAACTGCAGAGAGCTGTGTGGACCCATATCCAGAAATCAATTCTAGGAGCTTTCATCTGCTATGATGAAGATGCAAACCTTCTCATCTGCTTTTTATGAAAATAATGGACACTAAATGCCCATTTCAAGATCAAGCCATTCTAAAATGCTTTGATTACTGCTGGGAAAAATTACTTCTTCTTCTGCTAAGGAGTGCAGCTAAGCTCCTAGGGAACAGGGGACTCTGAAGGGTGGAGGCTGCCTGGTGACATCAGACTCTCTGCTAATAAAGTGGTAATCTTACCACATCCCTATGAGTCCTATTTCCATTACACTGCCTTTCGGCTTGCACATCACTCCTGCTAACACCCAGTCACTGCATACTACATCTCACTTTTCTGGAACTCAAGAACAACTTCCGAGGGCTTCCATTTTGATTGGTGCTGTGACACTCCAATAAGGGGTTGCTTCTCTCTTCCAGCTGCACTGTTTCCCTTTTCCCCTTCCCCAGCTGGTTATTAGTGGAAATGGTCAGGTAAATATACACATGTATTTATTACATATCTATACCACCTATAGCCAAAGTTCTCTGGGTGGTTCACAATGTATTATGTCTGTCTGTTTTCAGCTCAGTGGGTAACAGAAAGTTGGTCAAGTGGAGTGAAACAGCAGACAGATGCAGACTGAATAACATCACACCCAGTGAGGCTTCCCCATGCAAAATCAGAGCACCCACTCACAGATTTCAAATAAAAACATGTTGGAAAATCCAGTCATGGATGTCCCATGCCATATCTTTTTGGCCACCAGCTTCTGTTCCTTTTTGTTATAAATCACCAGCTGTTATCATCTCTCTCCTGAAGTTAAAAGCAAATGAAGTCTTTATTTTTGGTGGGACCAAGACTCTACTGAATGAAAGCAAAACTATCCCAAATTGTAAGTTCTGTGGGGATGTGCTTTCAATTAACATATATGAAGCCTAAATGTTTTACAGTAATAGAACCCAGGCCATTACAGTGTTGTGGGAATAAAAGTTTTGGAGCACTTTTCCCCTCCCCCTTTGCTATATATATACGTGTGTGTGTGTGTGTGTGTGTGTGTGTGTGTATTTCCAGACCTTCCATAGACATGATTCAAGAAGCACATCTTTTCTCCGAAACAAAAAACTGGAACCCATACCTGGGACAGAAGAATAGAAAACATAACAGGCAGTGTCATGCATCATATGTGTATCCAGTGCCCATTCAAAAGTGCACTCAACCAGCTTCCAGCAAGAAAGTTGAACACCTGTGAGCCATACGCAATCCAAACTTGGTTTAATTTAATAATAGTTGCATGTTGACCTTAGCATTTCAGACCTGAAATTTCTCCAGTCTGCCAGAGACAGCCAGAAAAATCATATCTCCGCAGCATTACCAGCTTCATAACGGCATCAGAGCAGATTGCCGACGGATGACACCCACAGTCCATGAGCTCGGCATATGCTAACTATCTAAATAGCAGCAATCATAATCTGTCTGGAGTTTTTTCCTCTGGAAAATTGCAAAACCAGTTTTTACTGTCCAGAGAGCTTCCTACCCTCTCGCAGCTTTCCCTTTCTCCTCTTGTTAAGAGATTTAGCATAATAAAGACAACTAATTTAACTCAGTTAAAAGAACTCTTTGAATCTTGGAAGCATCTGCCTTCGTTTTCAAGACAGGCTGAAGAATAACAGAAAGCTGGACTAGCTTCTAACATGAGAGCCCAAGCTCCGAACAGTCCTGGTTCACCCAACTTAACAATGCACGATGATGAAGCCGTCATCTCATCCAAACCCAGGGAGTGGAGCGTGGAGTGCCTTGCTCAATATCCCATGCGGCAATCTCATCAGTGACTGTCCTTCCACCAGTCCCAAAATGGCACTTTGGAAGGACAATCACTTGTTCTCTGTTTTGTGTTTTGTTTTTCTTTTAGCATCTCAAAAATGTGCAATTATGCTCATGATTTGGTTTTGGCAATTTTATTTTTATGTTTTGCTGTCTCTTTCACAAGCCTGCTCTGAGCACTCCGATGGCCGAGTCAATTTCCTTGTCTGTTTTTGCTGTCAGATGGGAAAATGGTGTGTGTGTGTGTGTGTGTGTGTGTGTGTGTGTGTGTGTTGGGTGGGGGGGGTGATGGAAGTAAATGCACTAAAAGAGGGAATCCCCCCTTTGACAATGTGATCGTTTTGGTTTTAAGAATTGAACGGACACTTCTCAGCATCTTCTACCTTTTCAGCACTTCCCCAATTCTTAAGCTGTTCCAGAAAGAAGAGAAATTAATTTCCCCTTTCAAAATTACTTTTCAGAGCTCCTTACTGCTGATGTTCCTGGCAGGTTTTTTTAACACTTATATGGTAGCTACATGGGACAGAGTGGATGGGGATGGCATATACTACTAGTTTGGGGCCCATTCCATTCTGCTACCCTCTATAAGGTTTAGTTTTCTTTTTAAAACACTGTTGGGAATATGCTTACACATGTTTTTTCACACTAGGAAGAAAATGGAAGGGAAATTTATGCAAATTTAATGGCTGGGAAGTGAATACAGAAAAAACTGTGCAAACAAGAATTTCCAGTTGCAAGAAGGTTGTCCAAATAACACACTAGACTGCTCCATGGACAGGTGATACAGTCAAACATCCTGTGAATGTCTTTCACAGAGCCATTTTAAGCATATTTACTCAGAAGTAAACACCACTGTGTCCAATGTAGCTTACTCCCAGGTACAGATAAGATACAGGTAGTGATAAATATGTATGTATGTATGTATGTATGTATGTATGTATTTTGGTAAACACTTGTAGCCCAACTCTGGCCAAATCCAGACGACCTCAACACCAGTAAAGTGATTTAGTATGTTTTCTGAAACCATGCCCTCTTGGCACCAAGTAGGTCTACCATATTGCTGAAAGAATGTATATGAAAGAATCAGAGCTCATGGGAAAAGCATTGTGTTCCTGCCAAGTATTATGGTTAGTATTATTCTTGTTATTATGCCATTTGAAAACTCTTTCCATATTTCTTTCCCTTCGTGTTGATTCACCTCATGAGGAATGCTCCAAACAATTATGCTAACATAGATTTCAGTCATGATTAAAATCCACTTGTAGGCTTAAGCTTTGACAGACCACTAAAAGAAGATGGTTCTTTTCTGAGATATTATACTAAATTTTTAAAAAAGAACATTATTAATTTCTACCAAAGGAATTGCAAAAACTTATGTGGCTGGCTCCTATCTTACATGGTATGGCCACGTGGAAAGTGATGTGGCCACTCATTGCAAAATTATATTGGGCTACAAGGGAGGTGGTCAGATTGCACCAGTGTCCATTCATATGCATGGACACTGTACTGAGTTCCGCTATTGGTGCATCCAGTGCAGTACTGTCTACACTGACTAGCAGCAGCTCTGCAATGTTTTGGGCAGGAGCCTTTCATATTCATACCTGGAGGTTCTGAAAACTATACTTGGGGCTCCCTGAATGCATACCAAGTGTTCCAATTGAAACACTTCTCCCCTAAAGAGGAGATCTGAGCACAGAAGGACATCCTAGTCCCATGAATGAATAATGGTTGTTTTGTAAGTACAAAGGGGACTCTCTGTGCAAGTTCGCAGAAGCAAAATGGGGAGATCCTGAATGTATCAGGCAGGGACACAGATCCAACAGTGTGGCCAAATCCATCCTTCCTTTAGACACAATCCAGTCCTCCAAGTTCCCCGGATGATGATACACTCATCCCCTGGTTGTACCTCCCCCTGCCGTCACCTTTCCTAACCTCCAGTTGTTTTCCAGATGTTGTGCCATTTTCCCCTACTCTAAATGCTTGAAATGCCTCTCCTAAGGATGAGTGGGTGAATCAGCAAAACACAAGCTTGCCTCAGTTCTTTCAATTCTATCTCAAATCTTATTCCAAAACTTCGTATATCAGATTGCAAGCTTTGTTTTATTTTTTCTTTTCACATAAAAATCAATATCAATATTGTGCATATTTTCCAAATATGCACCTTTGAAATTCTTCCCACACTGCTTGAAGTATATATGTGTGCATTTTTCAAAAGTAGGCATTTTCATGTGTACTTTTAATATATACATGTAGCTGAACATTTTATTTCTTTTGTCTGCAAGTCACTTTGCAAGCTCAGAAATATATAGTCTTTGACAATGGTTCATGTTTGAATCATGTTCTATCTAGAAGCCAAGAATTGGGTAAATCCTGATCAGTAATGAGCTGACATGACTTTCTCATATGTCCCTATTATCAACTGTTCGATCAATCAGTTGATTGATTGGTTTTGCTAGCATTTTGGCCATGGACTCCACCCGTTACCAGAACACATTCCCCGGGAGCCTCTTGAAATAGGATTTGGCTGTTGGGCTGAATGAAATTTAATATCCCTGGTGCAGCCAATATTTAGATAGTACCCCAAAGCTTCCTGTATTAGCAGGTTCAATTGAAAGCTATCAAGACTAATAGCCATAAACATATTTTTCCTCCATGAATTTGCCTAACCCCTTTTAAAACCACCTAAGTAAGTGATTCTCATCACATGTTGTGGTAATGAATTCCTTACAGCAAATGAGTATTGTGTAATACTTATGGTAACAATCTAATGAAATGTTAAGCACACACTTATATCATTGATATAAATGGGCTTAAGTGTACCTTATTCTATACATTTCAGCTTAGATACTGTGGCTTAAATATTTACAGACGATGGAAACTGGCCACGTTTATCATCAGAATAAGATGAATTGCACTTCATTTTAAGTGCTCAGGTACATTTGTTAATGATCAGTTTTGAGAACAAAAGTGTAGTTTGCTTGGCTGCATTGCCTGCAGAGATATCTTTTAATTTAAATAACAAGGCTTTCAAAATTTCAAGAAATGTCACTTAAGAGAGATTTATCTCTTGGGAAACAATATGGACCTCAAGGGAGAATTCCGAGAACAGAGCTGCCACGGCTGTTCTTCATAAGAGTTCCATCTGTTTTCCACTGAAATCTTTTTCCATGGCTTCCACTCACAGTGAGCTTGAGCTATGGTATGATTTAGTTGTCATCAATAGCACATACCCATTAGAACAGAGTGCAGACTATTTGGTGCCATTGGGAGTAAGAGAGTCTTTGAAATCCCTTTTGCAATAGACTCGCTTTCTTCCAAGCCAAAACCAGACATAACCATTCTAAATTTAAAATGTGCATTCACATCTCAGAAGTACTTTAGTTAAATGTTACGAATGCTTGAATGCGATTCTACAGAAAGTGCATGGGTTGAATCGCGCCTTTGTGTAGGTGTCTCCAACTCAACTGCATTTCAACAAGACATCAGAGTCTGCAGTTCAGGGCTCTGTTACAATGCTCTGGGGGGAATACATAAAAATATAGGACTAGTCCTATCACTGGGATGGAATAAGGCTTCTCCCACAGGTGGAAGATGCTGGCCAGGGAAGCAGAGCTGTGTTTTTTGTATGCCTGCCCTACATCCCATTGGTGATATTCAAAAGAGAGTAATGGCGCACTCCTATGCATATCTACACAGAGGTAAATCTCCCTGACTTCATCGTCTTACTCCCAGTTAAGTGTGTATGAGATTGACTTTATTTCTAGTTTGGCCTTTTAGTACATGGAATGAGGCGGGACAGAAGCAGCATCTTGTCCTCTCTTTCAGGCAGAAAATCTCTAAGACCAGCCCTGATTTGATGCGTCCTTTTCTAACCAGCCCATTTTTTAAAGAGAAGATTTCACAGTACTAACAGATACAGAAGAGGGCAGCTAAGGAGATGAGTTGCAACACACCACTGTGTATGCACCAAATTCCTCACAGGGCTCCATTGAGTCTTGTTTCTTCGCATTGCCTTTTGGTGTGTGCGTGAGCTGATTTGCAGATATCCTGACAGACTATTACAAGAAATAAATTATCTGTGCGCATTTCCTGTGTCACCATCCGGCTCTCCCCACCTACTCTACTATGGAGTAAATTCATGCTTATAGGGGAGGAAGGACAGAACCAAAGAGTAAAATCGGTGAGCCCTATGGGAATTACTATGTGAGTGCTTGCACATACACGGAAAGTATCATTAAACCTAAACGTCAGTCTATTTCCAGTCTCTGACAATTTAACATTCGTCCATTCTGTCCTGTTTTATTATTGATCTAC